CCTCTGATGATGAGCGCTAGTGTCGTGGTAGCAACATGCTATGTGTTTACATCCATCGCTGCCATGTTTGTAATGACTTATCATGAGAACAAACGTATTCACGTGACTTTAATAACATTTCTTACTTAATGGAAACACTGCAGTTGTGAAACTGTTTTTTTTTAAACATTAACAGAATATTAACAAAGTTTTGTGCACATTTGTAATGGAAACACAGCTATAGTTGAATATCCCTGGTTTAGGTTGTCTCAGACAACATATAGTCATTTCAGACAACCAGATCCAGCCTCCTGGTTGTTCGGTGGACAACCAAGAATAAAAAACCTTTAATTAAAGTTCTCTGCTGTGGGTGKTCGTCATTTGTAAAAAATGAACGGGAGAAAAAACTTGGTAAAATCAAATAGAACACTAAACTGTAACTTTTAATAAGGTCATGTACACAGTATACTCCTATTAAAGTGAAAATGTTTGACCAATGAGCAGAAAGAAGTTTATGAATGTTGGTAACCTCTAGATTTTATTAGCAACATTGTTGCTGCTTTACTCTCTGAGCCTTAAATACTTTATTTGAAATAAGAGAATGAGGAAGTTTTATTCATGCAGCTCCTGTCAACCTGAGAACTATTATAACTAATAAACTTCATCTACAGAACAATATACTTGTTAAATTACATTTTTCTTGAGATTCTTTTGGACAACCAAAATGTTTTGCGGACAACCGGGTTTTGTCATCAGGTTGTCTGCTGGACAACCTGAAACATATCCTTATGTCTACCYCTGTTAATATTGTAATATTTCAGATCATTTTAGCTTTTACTTTGTACCTAAGACAGTTAAAATAACTCAAGTGATTAGAAACACAATAATTAGCAGTATTTTGTTAAAGTTTTTCCTCTACAGCTGAACTTATCCTGGGATTTGTCATGAAGTGACACCGGGCGTGGACGGCCTGGGGCTGTAACGACACATAAACAATTTTAATAACAGCAAGGCACAAAACTTAAAACAAATACATCTGTTTCCAGTAATTTATCTTATACCAGCATCACAACCAATAAACAACTGGGTAAATAAATTACATTATATTTAAATTACCTTTAAGTTATTATTAATGAATTTGCATTTTTCCTGTAACAGATAA